CTGCTGGGGAGGGTGTTGGGGCTGGTGCTGGAGTGGCTGGGGGGGATCCGGCCCCGCTGCACGGCTGTTGAGAGGGGAGAGGGTTGGGGTGAGCTGGGGTGCATCCCAGTCTGGGACTGCATCCCAGTCCTCCCACACACCACATCCCAGCCCTCCTGCATCCCAGTCCCCCCACACACCACATCCCATCCCTCCGGCATCCCGCATCCTGCATCCCAGTCCTCCCACACACCACATCCCAGCCCTCCTGCATCCTGCATCCCAGATTTCCTGCTCAGCGGCTCCGGGAGCAAAAGTTGGCATCTTGGCACGAGCTGCAGGACCCGCTCTGATCCTGCAGCTCCAGGGCCACCCGCGCAGCCCATGGCCCGCAGGGCTAGGACGTGGTCGCAGGAGCCCTGTGGCTATGGCCATGCCAGGCCATACTGGCATCGGAGCAGGGCGTTTGCTGGCACCTGCACTGGCTGCCCAAGGTCATTCCGTGGCAACAATCATTTATTTGCAAATAAAATGTCCATCTTGGAACAGTCATTAACCCCAGGGCGCTCCCCCGTCCTAATTGTGTTCACCCAGAGCCGTTTTTCAGCTCCCCCCTCTCCCATTAGCGCCCACTATTTGCTCAGTCCCTGGTAATTAATTTATGGGCTGTTCATGAGCCACTTAAATGAGAGCTATAAATCATGCTAAGTGGCAATAACGCCATGCCGGCTCCTCGGGAAAGGAGGGAATTACTGTCCTGCTTCTCGTATCCTTCCCCTGCTCCTTGCATTAATGGAGCATCCCGGGGTTGCGGCAGAGCCGTGGAGGTGGCCGGTGCCCAGCTCTGCTCCGGAGCAGCCCCCTGTCCGCCGGAGCCCTGTTTTCCATCACGGCACCCAACCGCAGCCCTGTCCGCAGCCACCCAGGCAGCGTTTTGGCGTTCAGAGGGTGACGGGGAGCAGAGGGCGAGCGGCAGCGTTGCCAGGCCGGGCGGCGCGGCTGGGCACGGCACGGCACGGCACGGCACGGCACGGCACAGCGTGTCCGGGGATCTGCCCGCTCCGGCAGCGCTCCCGGCTGACCTCCTGCACACCCAGGGCCGCGGCTCCAGGTGTGTCCCCTTATCAGCTCCAGGCTCCGGCTTTCCAAACAAACAGCAGCTGCCCTGGCAGCACCAGCGCCCAAGCTTGCAAGGAGGAGCCCACGGCTGCGCTGCGAGCCTGGGCACGGCCGGAGCATCCCCGGGACGCGGCGCAAAGCGAGAGGCAGCGACAGCGTTTCCCGCGCGTCCCGGCGCTGCCGGTACCTTCTTTCCTCATGCCCACGCGGAAGCACTTCTTCAGGCCGCAGCACTCGCATTGGTGTCGATCTGGCAGTCGCGGTTGGACCTGCAGGAGAGAAGCGGGTGTGAGAGCCGGGCCCCGTCCGTGACCCGGCTTCGGCCTCCCCAGCAGGCGCCTGAGGAATTCCAACTATTTCCTACGGGAGCGCCAGGCTGTCCTGCTGCCCGTGGAGGGAAAGGGCCAAGCAAAGCCCTGTCCGACGGGCTCGTGCGCTTCCAGCTGCTCCGGGAAGGCAGGGCTGAGTGCAGCCCCAGCACAGACACGTGTCACCTCCCAGCACATCCATCGCTGCCCTGCGGAGCTTCACATAGGAACCGGCCTGGTTTCCCCGCTGCTCCATGCATGTTCCAGGTGAGGATGCGCTCCAGAGACCCCACGCACACTCCAAGGGCCCGCGCACGCTCCGGTGATCCGGGATGCGGGATGCAAGTTCAGCATTTCTTGCAGGCAGGGGTGTCCCCGCGTGGACATTTCTGCACAGATAACCCCAGTGCCCACAAAGTGGCTCTGCAGGGATCACTCCCAGGAA